AAAGCATAATTTACATGGTACATAGCACATATCATGTAGTGGCAGAAATTCGAGAAGTACTGGAAGCACTAGTATTAGTTGATTACAGCTACTACACATGGATTATTGACTCTTCCGGCCTGTGCTTTTCCTTACCATTCCTTGAAAACATTCTGTGTTGTTCTTCAATTATTATTTTATTTTTCGGTTAGATGACTGCATTAGTAATATAAGTTCTCTCTAATTAAGTGGCTGCATGTGATATAGAATATGAGAGAGATTATGCAAGAAAAGAAAGAATTGATAAACAATAAAAAATAGGTAGTCAAAAGCATGTTGAATAGCAAAGCATACTTCTGTTTGTTCATAAGGGAAAGATTGCTCGAGATGCAATCACAGAGCTGCTCAATGAAATTGTAATAGATTATCATGTTCTGCTCAGCCAGAAGCCCTTCTGCCTGCACAATGAAAACAAACTGTTTACCATTTCAAGTCTCAACCAACGACTAAGAAGGTGCTTGTGGAATGGAAGGTATGAACAAGACAAGAGCTGCATGTCATGTGAATCAAGGCAGCAATGACAGATTAGCTTAATAAACTAGAAAACGTCATGACAAATGTGCCGTATAAGTCCTGCAAGGATGCCATGTTTTCTCTACAGAAGCAAACAACAGAAAATAAACAGCTACGTATCTGCCAGATGACTGATATAAACAAAACAGATAAACCCATCAAGAAAGTGACTGGAAATGTGCAAATTAATGACACTAAAAAATCAGGCTACCGCATCATAGAAAACCCACAAAAATCAATTTGACTCCAGCCGATTAATGTTAAAGAAATTGGGGAAAAGAGAAAAACTAACCCTGCAAAAAGCTTTGTAAGCATGATCAGTTCTAATGAGATCAGCCATATCATTCTTTAAGTACTTTATAACACTGTTCTTCTTCTTCTTTAATGCCTCAAGGCGTGTCTTTGTTATCTTTACAGATGTCTTGCTGCAGTAATCAAGAAAAACAAAAGAACCATCCAATATCAGTCAATAAAACAGAGTTCTATAAATAAAACAGAAAAGAATAAAAGATAAAAAAAAAATTAATCAGGTCTTTAATATACCATTTTGTATAGAACTTGGACCTTGTAAACCGGTCAAACATTTTGATCTCTACAAGCCTTCAACAAATCACAAAAAAAAAAAGGAACTCGTAGAGAGAAAGAGGTTCTGTCTTTATATTTTCTTTTCGTTAATGGTCTCTACTTTCTGGGTTGCTCTTTGAAGCAATGATGAGGTGATAAGATTAACAGAGATGCAGAATGGGCATCAAGTAACATCAAGAATCTGCATTAATGAACCCAAGAAGCAAAGAAATGCCAAACTTTCAAGGTGAAAAAAGCAAGAATTTAGAGAAGCAAAACCGAGGAGATTGGTTTTTATCTTTTAATTCTAAGAAAGGGAAGAAACAAAGAAATGAGCAGCTCTAAATCAACAAGATACAAGCTCTCAAAGGCAGGAATTTTTAGCTTGGTTTTAGAGAGAGAAATCCATGAATGGACATATATATATATATATATACGGAGAGAAAAAGGAGTGGTTCAGGCAAACAAGAATCCCCGACTTGGCAACGAGGAAGCTCGAAGGCTTTTTTTAAGGAGGAAGCGGAAAGGAGAGTGGCCTTTTTTTTGAGAGAGAAGATTTAGCCACGCAGGATTCTCTCTCTGTCTTCCTCAGCATAAGATTTTGCGCGCCGTTTCGTTCGGAACCATGTTCTTTAACTGAGGAAAATTACCTATAAGACCCCTGAAACTCATCTATTTACGTTCAATTTATCCGTCAACTAAACCGCGGGAAACCAACGGCTTGACTTGTTAACAAGCTGTGGCTCTCAAGATCATTTTCTACTGATAATGGACCTTTTCCTTCTTTCTTTTTTTTTAATTTTAAAAAATATATAATTTCACTGTCAATAATCCGTTTCCCGAGTCATTTTAATTTGCTTGGACAGTTGCTTCTTGCCATAACCTGAACCGAGTTAAATTTGCTGTTCTTAGAGGGTGATTTTGGCACGTAGTTGGAGAGCAAGAAGGACATAGGCCTTCACTCTCTGGTCTCTAACATTGTTTAATGGGCATGCATGAAAAATATGTCGAGAATCTGTCTCTCAAAACATTAGGGCCTGAAGATATGCTTCACAATTTTATTTTTAATAATACAAGGCTCGCAGCAAAAAACAAGGAAAAAATAAATTAAAGAGCCTTGTTAGGATCATTCTAAAATATTGAATATTCTTATAATAGTTTTATTAAGCTTTAGTAGATGTCTTTGTGTTATCTAAAAAACCAAAACCAACATAATTGGTTGTTGGTGTAAAGTAAGCCATATTTTACATTAAGAGAATTGATATTGAATAATTATAAGGGATATAATTTAACTGATTAAATTTTAAATTTATTTTTTAGTTAAAGATCATTGGTTTAAATTCTATAAATTTTAAAGCTACTAGAAGTTTATAAAAATGTTAATTTTTTAGTTTATAAAATTAGTTGAGGTGCACACAAATCTATCTAGATATTTATATTAATAAAAAAATTAATATTAAAAAAATATATACTTATATATCAGGAAAGAAAGAAGTTTTATAAATAAAATACTACTGATTGTAAGTTGTAGTGTAAAATTTCAGGGCTAACTTGGTGCTTGGGCTCCCAGGATTGGATAATTTAGTCAAAACTGATTGTTTTGACCTTTTAGCTTGCTGGCAAACGCCTGTTTCCACATAAATAAACATAGAATTAGTTAAAGAACGACATTATTTTAGGCTGAAAATAAGGAAATCACGAATGGAGATCCATGTGGCAAGCAGGGACTATAATTAACAACGGCGTTGCTTGCTTGATGATGAAGCTATATACCGTGATTCGGCGGCGTCAACAAGAATGATGTGACTGACAGCTGTGAACACCAGATGGCGTCGTCCTTTGCCAGGTAGTCATGTCTTCGTGTTTTATTTATTTATTCCTCCCTTTGCCAGGCTAATTTAAAGACCAAAGTCGAATGCATCTAAACTCCATGGGTATGATGTGAATCAATTTGAATGAGTGGTTTTTTTTTTATGTTCAAAATATACGGTTATTAGACTATATGATTACTTATTATGATTAGTTTATCATAACAAATTTAGTTTATAATTCAAGATAAACTTGTAATTAATTAAAATTAGCATACATATTAAGTATAAGATATTCAAAACCAATCCTAGTTTGCATTCAAAACATATATAGAATATATTTACGTAAACAAAATTTTATTGTTATTAAGAATTAATTAATTATTTTTAAAATTTTATTATTTTTTATTTGATGCTAAAGGGATACATGCAATTAATTTAAGGTATTCTAATATCGTTGTCTTATTTAGATATACTTCTAAATAAAATTAATAAATCAAGAAAGTTTAAATATACTTCCAAATAAGATTAATAAATCAAGAAAATAAAGCTGGAATATATTTTTATAAGAACTAAAGTTAAATTCTAGATTGAGAGGAAAACAAAAAAGAAGAATTGAGTTTAAAACATGAGAGAGTACGAAGAAATATAGAGCTAAAACATAAGTAAAGAAGAGATGTAAAGATTGTGCAAATTCATCCAACTCCTTCACAGGAACTTATTTAAGTGAAGTATTATCAAAAGGCACAAGGAAGAAATTATACCCAAATTTGAAGTAAAAGAATAACATAGGATTAAATATGATAATGGATTCTAGTATATGTAAAATCTTAATAAATGTAAAATCTTTAAAGATGGATTCTAGTATATTTTGATAACATAGGATTCTAGAAAAAACTAAAATACCACTATATGTAAAATCTTTAAAGATGGATTCTAGTAGCATTTTAAGCTTCTCATGTATAGTTTTTTTTTTTATAACAATCAGGTTAAGTAAGAGGTAATTTAATTTTTGAATAAATATAAAATATATTAAAAAATAAAAATAACTTGTGTGTATAATATACACTCAACTTGTTAAAGATGTTTGTGTTCTTTGTACAATGTGTGCGATGTCTTATAATGAAAAAAATTAATTTTTATCGTGTCATTATAAGCAACAAGTCATTCTCTTGCTATTGCAGCGACCCATGGTGGCACTGGTTTGATATACCGACATCGGTTATTGTTTTTCTTTTTTTTCTAGTGTTTTTTTTTTCTAAACTTGAAAACCAAACTACACATAGAAAATTTTAAAATTGTTCTCTGATTCATAAGGTATTTGCTTTGATCTATATTATTTTAATTTTTAATATTCTAACTTGGTTTTTTTTGTAAAATTTTAAATTATTTTTAATTACATTCTTTAATTCTAATTTGTAATATATTATTTTGTCTAATTTAATTATCATTTTTTATCATCATCCTTTTTTTTTATTATTATGTGATTAAAATACACCAACTTATTTTTATATAGTTGGGTCAAATTATATATATATATATATATATAAACACATTTCTACTATCTAAACATAATTTTTAACGTAGAAAAAGCCCTATAGCAGAGGACGGGTAAATGGCTAGTGTGTGTGTGTGTGTGTGTCGATGTATATGTATGTACGTGTGTGTGTCGATGTATATCGACTTATTCGACCACTCCAAGCTGCTGCTGCGATTGTAAATATACCATGTATATTATTATTACAAGAGTACTTGTGTAATTAAATACTGCAAATCCAAGTGACTTGTGAGGTTCATGCACAACTTGTTTGCTAAGCATGTCTTCCTTTCTTTTCATCTTCTTAATTTCTTCAAAAGCCAAAAAGTAAGTGATTGTAGTTGCACACGACTGTACACACATGCATGAAAAGAAAACCAGTTGATGGTAATCCATAACCCCTCCCCTGTATATATAATTATGTCTAAATTAAAGCTTTGTTTATTTTAAAAATTATTTTAAATTTTTTTTTGTATTTGTTTATCATTACAAAAGTTGATCAATAGAAAACACTTTACGATTAATAAAAAATATTTTTTAATTAAAAAACATTTAGCTTGATTTTCAAAAAAATATTTTTCTTTTATTTTAGATGTAAAACACTTTCTGAAAATTGTAAAAAATTTAAAAATATCATATTATTTACTGATTATATCAAATTTAATTCTCAAACTTTTAATTGCTATATATTTTTTTTTGAATATTTGTTTTTCAATTTCATCCATTAGAATTTAATTTTTATATTAATTTTAGTTCTTATTTTTATAATTGTTATTTACTTTTATCTTATTATTTTTTAATTGAAATTTTGATCTATCAAATTTGGTCCTCATTCTTTTGATTGTTACTTATTTTATTTCAAATAATTCATAAAATGTTAATTATTATTATTTTAATTTCTTCATCTTTTAATTTTTAATTTTTTAATTTGATCTTTATTATTTATTTTATTTGAGATAATTTATGAAATTATATATTTTTTAATTTCATTCTCATTCAATTTTTTAATTTGTAAGTTTTATTTCTTATTATTTTAATAAAATTAAAAAATAAAACATTAATAAGTTATTTTTCAGCTTATTTTTTTTTGATATAACCAAATAATAAAAAATATTTTTTAATTTATTTTTTATTATATTATCAAATATTAAAAAAAATAAAAAAAAAATATTTTAAAAAAAATTACTTTCACCAAACATGCCTAGATTATTTCTGACTCTTAGTGTCATGCTTTCATTCCCTGTTTGTTGTAGAAGGCGACGAGGAAAAAGGAAAATAAAATCAAAGTAAAAGGTCAATGTTCGCGGCCAGTGCTGGACTGCCTCCTCCATAGGTAGTGGTACTGGTGTCGCTATATTATAATTAGTAGATGTAGTTATAATTATTTTTTAAAATATTTTTTATTTTAAAATATATTAAAATAATATTTTTTTAATTTTAAGATATTTTTTGAAAATACAGTGTAAATAATGTTTTAAAAAATTATTTTTTTTATTTTAATTTAATTTTTTAAGTTTTTGGATCGTTTTTAATATATTGACACCAAAAATAATTTTTAAAACATAAAAAATATTATTTTAATAACTTTTTAGATAAAAAATATTTTAAAAAACAATAAATATATACCTCTAAAATTTATTTTGTACAGGTGAAAGGGAGAAATCATAATATATACATATATATATATATACATATATATATAAAGAAAGAAAAGTATCGCAAAAGATGAAGGAATTAGTCCAAGGCATATAGGAACTTGGGATTTCAATGCCTGGTATGCATATGGGGCGTTTATTTTAGTCAACTGACCATGAAGTCAATGAGACGAATCATAAAGTAATTATCTATTGATAAAGAGAATATTATTGATGAATTAATATTTCTAATTAATATATGACCATGAATTTAAATTCAGTTATAAACACGGTAATACTTCTTAGGATGGACGTAAAGTCGCGTGATATACGTGTCAAGGGTTTACACTTGGCAATTCTCCTTAATTTATTTATTATCTGGTATTTATGTAATAATATACTAGGAGCCTAATTGACGTGACAGGAATTTTAAGCGCAGCTGGCAATGAGTTTGTTATGACTAGAAGGAAGAGAACCTTACACAAGTAGTTGAAACTTGAAAGGGCATGAGAAGGTGATGGTTCTGTTACACTCTACTGGTTGCTTGAAAATACAGTTTTTATCATAAAATTTATAAAATATAAATAATATTTAAATTTATTAATAATATTTAATTTATTATTTCACCTGCCATTCTTTTCTCATTTTTTCTTATTTTTTTTAATTTTTTTTTGTAACAAACATCGCAAACCCATCTCAATTT